TATTTTTTCGCATTTGCGACCTGGGTGACTGCTATAAATGTAGCTATAGATGTCTTCTCTTGATTACTATAAGAATTATTTTTAGTACTATTGATTTCGCGAGAATCGCGATTAATTTCACTCTGCCGTGAAAATTATTCAATTATTGTAATTGTTTGAAGAAATGTTTATTAATATTCAATGTGAATAATAAATAAATATTAAACTATATACCAAATATATAATGAATAAGGCAAATATTTAATAAATCTATTTACTATATATGATATATAAATAGGAATTATTAAGGGCTTCATAAATTAAGATCAATATTGCAAAAAAAAATAAATAAAATAAAATAAATAAATAAATAAAATAAAATAATTATATACAATAAAACTTAATAAAATAAATTAAAAATAATTACAAAATAAATATAGTGAATAATCTATAATAATATATTCTGAATATTTCAAATTAACCCTAAGTACTTATAATATAATTATAATATGATACTGAATAATTTTGAAATATTTGTTAAAATATGTTATTTATTCTGAAAGGACTTCAGTTTGAGTTGATTTTCCCGATTATCTTTGTAGTTACATTGAGAAGCTCAAGCTGTTTGTGCCTGTTGATATGCTAAAAATGAGTATATTTTTATTGCCTATGTCTATAGCCTATTGCCTATGTCTGTATGCATTCAATTGATACAATATGTGTATATTTATGTACCTATACCTTCACAGCTACTTGCCTACATATTGACATTGCTCTCTCTGCTTCTCTTATCAGATACACCCGTTTGCAAGCACACGGATCGCGTTATACTAATCGGTGCCTCTAAGGATGAGACTGTTGAGGTCGTATGCGAGATACAAGCGGATCCGCCGCCACGGTAAGTATTGACAGAGAGAAAATCGAAAAACAGTCAAAGAAAATTCATTGCTCTGCAACCCTTCACGCGCCCCTGGCAAAGCTTTGCCTCCCATTTTCTTTCTCTCTGTTTTTTTGTTGTTGTTGTAGGCAATTGCTTCCGGTTTCCTGTTGCATGGAAGTTTGCTAAATTGACAAATGGCTGTAATTGTATATATATGCGTGTGGGTGTGTGGATGTGTGTGTTTGCGTGGGTGTGCGAAACGGAAAATGCTGTTTGTATGTTAGGAAATGTGCGAAATTCAGCAATATTTTGATTTGACGGCACTTCAAAGCGTTGTCCCTGCCTGCCACGCCTTCGCTAATGTGAGGCACTTTAATTTATTTTAAATATGCAGCTGCCGCCACAGTGGTGGGGAGGGGAGGCAGCTGGCGCTCACTGCTGGACTCTGTTAATTCGCATTGCCACATTTGCCCCACTTTAATGTTTTTTTAATGAGCCAGCCGCCGCCTTCGCACCACAACGCACCGCTGCGGCCTGTCGGGCGACTTTATGCTCGTCTCGCGTCTCTCCATCTCGCTCGCTCTGTCGCACTTTCTCTCTCGCTCTCTTTTTGTCTGTCCAGCTGCCTTGTCTTGTATTTAATTTCAATTTTGCGTTCTGTTTTTCTCTTTTTGTTGTTGTAGGGCTTGCTCTTCTCGTTGCTGTTGTTGCCTTTGTTGGTGTCTGTGGCTGCGTCTTGAGTTGACGCTTTATGCTAAAATAATTAATCATTAGCTGGCGCAAAATATGCGCGTTGTTGCCGCTGGCAGCGCAGCTGCCCTGTGTAATTGTTGTGGTACAGCTGCGATAGCGAGCTCTCTAGGCGAGGCGGGACGGGCTGCAGTGTGAGTGAGAGGGGCAAGCCTCGCCCGGGGCCGTTGCTCAGCTGGAGCATTACAAAAAACTGCTGCATACTTTTTAAGGCCGGCAGAGGGGCTAGCAGCGCGCCGCTGGGCTAGCCCAAGGTGGGCGGCTACAAGTTAATTTATCAGCATTTAACTGCTTGACAGCGATGCCAGCTATTTCGTTGATCCTCTTTTTTCGGCATTGCTTTTTTCGTGTGTAATTCTTAAATTAAAGTATCATTTTGTGAAAAATGCAAATCATTCGGTAGAGTAAGCATTAAAGCGGAAAATTCTTAAAAATTTAATTGAAGAAGAAAATTGATTTTATAAATCTTTTCATTCGGAAAAGAGATAACACAAATATTATGAATGTAGTACTAAATGTTGCTGTTAAAATTAAATTGAGCTTGCTCCTCAATAACAATATTGAGTAATATTGAGTATTTTAACAGATATGTTCATGCCTTTCTGTTAGGGATATTGAATTCATTTACGACCTAACATAAGGAGCAGCATGAAGAGTTTGTTAAGTTCTGTTGCCAAAGTAGTAGAACATCATTCAGCTGTTAATTGCTGCTGCTGCTCTCTTCGGTTAACGTCAACAAATTATTTTGTTCTACGCCATTTAACTGTTAGCACACACTATCCGCTCTCTGGATTTTTACAGTGGGATCTAGCGCTGGCATTACACGGCGCTGTTAGCTCATTATGCTCTTATTACTGTTTTGCTATGCAATCTCTTAGCGCACATAATCCGCTCTGTGACTTTTAATAATGCGTCGAACTGTTAACCCTCTTCTCTTTTAAATTTTATGCTTCTGCAGATTGTTTATTGATTGATTTCATTATATACATACATATATATAACAGATATGCTATATATATATATTCCCATAGATGCCTATATATATTTGCATATAGCTATTAATAATTTATTGAGGCAGTGAGAAAAACTGAAAGCGTCCAACCGAATATGCCAGAGATAATTAACCTTTTAAGAGGCTTTTCATGTGCGAAGCGGAGTCAACTCTGTTCATCTACGGTGGTCAACTGTAATACTGTGATGGCGAGTGTGTGTGTGTGTGTAAATGTTTAACCTTTAATATTTTAACGAGCTATTTTAAAAATGTAAGACTTTTCAAACATGACTCACTCTTCTGTTTCTTTCTCTCTCTCCCCCATGTGACATTCGCCCTTTTGGCTGGACTGATGTTTCTGTCTTTTGCATGCGCTTGCCACTGACAACGCAACTGTCAAAATGTCAACGCAACACAAACAACAACAAAAACAACAACAATGATAAAAATAAAACCAACAAACACATGCAGAACATTTCGCTGGAAATTTAACAACTCTGGCGAAACTCTGGACGTGGGCAGTGAACGATTCAGCGTGAATGGAAGCCGCAGCATTTTAAAGTACACTCCGGTTACAGATCAGGTAAAGGCCATCTACCTTGACCAATTAAGAAGCGTACATATACATACATACCATAAGTCGCTTCTGTACAAAAATATACATATATATTTTTTTACTTGACATATTTGCAGGATTATGGTACACTGTCCTGCTGGGCAGCTAACGAAGTGGG